CTGTAATTCTGAGTGTTTTATGTGCTGCAGAACAGGAACCTGCTGTAAAACAGCAATTATGCTGAGTCAGGCTTGATTTTTAGTAATCTTTTCCTGTTAAATAAATCAATCAAATCAAATCAATCCATAGTTTTATATTGCCATAGTTTACAATTCGTCATGTTTACAAACACATCATAAATTTTCTGTTATAGATGTTAGTTTTGGTGTGCCACCCCTGGTTTTTCAGTGCCCCCCCCCCCATGGCCCCCCCTGAAAAAATTTCTGCAGGCACCACTGCAGACGTCCGTCTTACAAGAATACATTGCAGTCCACTTTGGTCGAGCTGAGATCCGCTCCACGTCTCTACTGGTTCCACACTTCTGGGTTCATTTCTGAACCCGGGAACTGGCCGGCTTCACCTGTAATTTATGAATGACCCAAGGGAGATTAAAGCCGCTCCGGTCTGTGTGGTGATTTCGCAAAACGGTCTTGTGAAAGAGAATTAACTCATACAATTTAGAGTTAGCAATAACAACTTAACATGCATGTTTTTGGTCTGTGGGAGGGAAACCGAGTACCTAGAGAAAACCCATGTGTGCACAGAGAGAACGTAAACTCCACAGAGAAAAGCGTCAGACCAGGATTCAATCCTGAGAGGCAACAGCTCTACTAACTGCACTAATAAATCCTATCTAGCTATCAATTATTGAGTCCTTTGTTTGATTATAAAGTAAAAAACATTGAAAAATTGATTAGTTTGAATAGTCTGATTCTAAATGGCTGCCAGAGCTAATCAATATTTACAAAAACAAAATTTGCTATACCTCAGTCAATTTCACAGTTTTGGGTTTAGGTTTTGTGTGGTAGTGGCTAAGAGTCATTCACAACACATACTCTGAGATCTTACAATATCACATGATGACATCATGTAAATGTAATTTACCACAGAGGTTCTTAACCTATGGGCCTCGGCCCACAGCGCCACCTTGAGTGCCTCAAAAGAACAACAGTTTTTAACTTTGGGTCGCAGAGGGCCGTGGGACCACATTGATTTTGAATAAGGTGCAATACACTTTCTCACCACTAGTAGCAGTAGTGCACCACTCAGATGTTTAACAACTTTTTAATATGTAGAAGAACCTTAGAAACCTGCTGAGAATGGAAACTTATTTTAAATGAAAAGTTGAAGCAAAAATTAAGGTAACTCATCAAAAAACACCAAAGTTTGTCACTAATATGAAGTGCAGCTTCTGGTTTTACCATGTTATATTTTAAAAGTTCAAAACATTATCAAATACAGTTGCGTAAATGGCTATATTTTAATTTGCACCTTATCAAATTGATTTTTGTAGTTTATTTTTAAACATTTTGTCAAAAAGCCGTTGTTACTGTTATTGTTTGTCACTAATATGAAGAGCAGCTTCTGGTTGCAAAAGTTTAAAAAGGCTTTATTTTCATTTGTATTTATCAAATTTACTTTTACAGGTTTTTTATTTGGAACATTTATATTAAATATTTTTGAATGTATTTATTTAATGATCACAATTTTATTTATTGAACTGTTTATTTGTTGTTTATGTTAAAATATATGTGTGTGTGTGTGTGTGTGTGTGTGTGTGTGTGTGTGTGTGTGTGTGTGTGTGTGTGTGTGTGTGTGTGTGTGTGTGTGTGTGTGTGTGTGTGTGTGTGTGTTGATAAGCCTGAGTGGTCTGTTGACTGATTGTTGTATTTGTTCAGATAATTGTTAAAAACAGGTTACAATATAAAAAAATGTTTGTTATAATCATGTCTTGTGATTATTTGACAGGAGTTTTACTTTTAAACTGTAAGTGTATTTTATTTAGTTATAATGCAAATACAATACAAAAATAAACCAAAATTTTGAATAATTATAGTTTTTAACCAAGATTTAGAATAATTATCATTTTGATCTGTATGGTAATGTGTGACTGGGCCTCGTGTCACTTTATGTTGAACAAATTGGGCCCTGAGGTAAAAAAAGGTAAAGAACCCCTGATTTACCAGATTTGAGCAAAACAACTAAAACCCCATTATTTCTCAACATTAAATTAAATTAAATTAAATTAAATTCAATAATACTTTATTAACCCCAAAGGAAATTTTAACATAAGGAGATCTTACTTTAAAACCCATTAAAAGACGACAGGTGATTCCTTCAAAGAATTTTTGACCGTTTAACTCGTGAAGTTTTTTTCTGACGAGTGACACATTTGGCTGGTGAAGATAAAACTTTATCCTTTGCTGCACATTTATCACATCAACAGTGTTAAAACTGAACTTCAGTTTCAGAATAGGAAGGTGAAATGAATTGTCGGGCCGAGGTTTCTCACCCAAAGGAGATGCAGTAGAAGATGATGAGAAGAGCAACACTTCTGGCTTTGAATGGAACTGTGAAGATCTGCTTAATGGGCATCAGACCCTGAAAGTTAAACCACAGAGGGACTTACTGACAAGAACAACCATCAGATATGAAACATTAAAATTTAAACTCTGGTGACACATGATTCATTAAAAAAAATCTTGGTCAAGAATAAACAAAACGTAGAAATTTACTGCCTTGTGTGGTTTAAGTATTTAAGATACAATGCTATGTTTGTACTGTGACTAAGCAAGTGGTGTCCAGTCCAGGGGCATCATGTACAAAGACTTGAGTGGATTTCTTACTGAAATCAACAGTATGAAACAGTAAGAAACTTCCTCTTGTTCTCTAGATATTTTACCAACAAAAGTTTTTAAGGATGTTTTTATCTTTTTACTTCCTGACATTTTAACAGTTTTTAACAAATCATTATCCACAGGGATAGTACCTAAAATGTTTAAAACTGCAGTTGTCCAACCATTATTTAAAAACCCCAGCCTGGATTGTAATAACCCAAATAATTTTAGGCCAATTTCCAAAATTACCTTTTATTTCTAAAATTTTAGAGAAAGTGGTTTCCTCTCAGGTTTTAACTCATCTTAACAAAAAATTCGCTTTTTGAAAAGTTTCCGTCAGGCTTTCGTAAATATCACAGTACAGAAACTGCATTATTAAAGGTTGTGAATGATACCAGGATGAACTCAGACTGTCCTGATGCTGCTGGACCTTTCTGCTGCATTTGACACAGTCGATCATGATATTCTTTTAACTCGACTAGAACTTTGGTTAGGCTTTAGAGATACTGCTCTGGGCTGGTTTAAATCATATTTACAGGACAGAACTTTCTCTGTAACTTCTGGCAGCAATTCCTCCAGCTCAGCTACACTTACCTGTGGTGTTCCCCAAGGATCTACTCTTGGGCCTTTATTATTTTCAATTTATATGTTACCACTTGGTTAGGTTATTAATAAATTTAATATCTCTTTTCATTTTTATGCAGATGATTCCCAGATTTATTTGGCTATCAACCCATCTAACCTCTCTACTCTCAATAAACTTACTTTTTGTCTTTCTGACATCAAAACCTGGATGTCTGACCACTTTCTTTTACTCAATAATGATAAAACAGAGGTGATAGTGTTTGGGTCAAAGACCAAAAGGGATCTTGTAACTCAGTCTCTTTCTAATATTGGTTTAACTGCACTCATGAAGCCAGGAATTTGGAGGTGACCTTTGATTCAGATCTTAGTTTTTCTAAACATTTTAAGAACATAACGAAAACAGCCCTTTTCCAAATTAAGAACATTAATAAAGTCAGATATTTTATTTCTTTCACTGGTGCAGAAACTAATTCATGCTTTTGTTTCCTGCCATCTTGATTATTGTAACTCTTTGTTTTCTGGTCTGCCTCAAAGTCCTCTCAATCGTCTTCAGTTAATACAAAACACTGCAGCTGGAGTTCTTACACCATCCCATAAATATCAGCACATCACTCTAGTTCTGTCCTTTTTACATTGTCTCCCTGTGGTTTTTTAGAATTGATTTTAAATTTTTATTGTTTGTTTTTAAATCTTTGAATGCTCTGGCGCCGTCTTATCTTTCTGAGCTTCTCAGCCCATATATACTGTCTCGTCACCTCAGATCAGTTAATCAATTATTCCTTTCCATTCCCAGAGCTCGACTGGTGACAGAAGGAGAGAGGGCTTTTATGGTCAGAGCTCCCAGTTTGTGGGATGCCCTTCCACTAAATATTAGACAGGCTACCTCATTGATTTCTTTTAAATCTTTACTTAAGACTTACTTTTTAAATAAGGCTTTTAATATTTGATAACGCTTTTTGTTTGTTTTTAGTTTTATTGTATTTGATTTGGTATATTTTGTTGCATGTTGTCTTTGATGTTTAACTTCTTTAATGTAAAGCACTTTGTAACATTTGTTTAGAAAGGTGCTACACAAGTAAAGTTATTATTATTATTATTATTATTATTATTATTATTATAAATGTGGCGTAAGGTGAAATCCAGAAAACTGCGTACGCACAAAAAAAATCCAGGTGTATGAAACTGTGCGTACCCCAGAATCCACACACATTTCTTTTGTACATCCCAATTACTGTAACATGGAAGTGAGCGCATGCGAGACACCTCCCCTTCATTTACACATGTTAAACAGATGCTAATTACTTCCTGCATGTGTGATGGACATTTTTGTAACTTGTCCATGCCTTTGTCTCCTCTAGACTTGATTACTACAATGCTTTCCTCATTGAAACCCCTGTGAAGAACATTTAATAACTACAAAATGTTCAGAATAGTGCTGCCAGGATTCTGATGATGTGGTCCTATTGGCTTCATCAGATCCTGATCTCCAGCTGGAGATCTGGAGCGGTTCGCAGCAGAGTGTGAAGCGGCCAGGATGAGGATCAGTGCCTACAAATTCGAGACCATGGTCTTGTGCCAGAACAGGGTAGGGTGCCTTCTCCGGGTCGGGGGGAAGAGGTCCTGCCCCAAGTGGAGGAGTTTAAAGAGTAACTTACCCCAAAATTAACTTTTTTTAGCTGATAAACTGTCTAGAATGTGTCTAAAATGTTATATAGTACTGTTTCTGAGCTAATTTTGATGTTTTTGTGCGTATTTGTTCAAATCTAATATTTGGTCTAAACATGTCTTTTTGCTGCTCGTGTGGGTAGAGCAGTGGTACTGCAGGCTAATTTACATATTGGTTAACGGCTCTCCACGGT